TAAGAGGAACAAAGAAAATGTCAGCACCACAAAAAAAAAAAAAAAAAGCACAACGATATGACAGCAATAAACTTATACGTATCGATAATCACAATGAATATGAATGACTTAAATGCAACATTAAAGAGATGAGAGTGGCAGAATAGATTAAAAAAAAAACATAACCTATCAATATGCTGTCTATAAGAGACACACCTTAGACACAAAGACATAAATATATTAAAAATCAAAGGATGGAAAAAAGATATCAAGCAAACAGTCACCAAAAAAGAGCAGGAGTGGCAATACTAATCTCAGATAAAATAGACTTTAAAGCAAAATCAACCATAAAAGACAAGGAGGGACATTATATAATCATTAAATGGATAATCTGCCAAGACATAACCTTAATAAATATCTATGCACCCAACGACAGGGCTCCAAAATACATAAAACAAACTCTAACAGCACTGAAAAGAGAAATTGACAGTTCCACAATAATAGTAGGGGACTTCTACACAAGACCCTCAGTAAAGAACAGAACATCTAGAGAGAAACTCAGCGAAGATACAGAAGATCTAACAGCCACAATCAATCAACTTGACCTCATGCACATATATAGAACATTCCACCCCCAACAGCAGCAAAGTATACATTCTTTTCCAGTACACGTGGAAGATTCCCCAGAATAGACCACGTTTTAGGTCACAAAGCAAGCCTCAACAAAATCCAAAACATCGAAATAATACAAAGCATTCTCTCTGATCACAATGCCATAAAAGTAGAAATCAATAACAGGAAGAGCAAGGAAAAAAATCAAATACATAGAAACGGAGTAACACCTTCCTTAAAAATAACTGGGTAATAGTAGAAATCAAAGAGGGAATCAAAAATTTCCTAGAAACAAATAACAGTGAAAACACATCATCCCAACACTTTTTGGACACAGCAAATGTAGTGCTCAGAGGTCAACTTATACCAATAAACACACACATCAAAAAAGAAGAACAGGCCAAAATCAAAATGTTAGCCCTACAACTCGAACTAGCCCTAGAAGGAGAACAGCCAAAGAAGCCCACAGACACCAGAAGAAGGGAAACAATAAAGATTAGAGCAGAAATAAATGAAGTAGAAGGAAGGTCTCTTGAAATCAACCAATAATTTCATAATTGCTCTTTGTAGGCAAATGGTTGACAAATGGTTGCAGTGACCAGAACTCATTATTTTTTTTTTTTTAAATATTTTTATTGTACTTCAGGTGAAGGTTTACAGAACAAATAGATTCTCCTGAAACAGTAGTACGCATATTGTTTTATGACATTGGTCAACAACCCCACGACATGTCAACCCTCTTCCTTCTCGACCTTTTTTTTTTT